AAACAAAAGAAAAAGACCTGAGAACCCCCCCCCCAACACACACACAACCCCCCCCCAAGAATTATAACTAAAGGCGCAGGCAAACACACACCCCCAGGGGAACCAGGGGAATGACAACGCCAAAAGGAGAGAGGGGGGGGGGACGCGGGAAGAAACCGATAAAAAAAAGGAGTTTTTTTTTTTTAAAAAACCCACGCCCCACTAGAAAATATTTGCTCCCGCCGAGTCTCTAAAGTGTATCTGTCTCATTCTCCCTGTGAATCTCAGATCGGATTTCGCTGTGTTAAAAACCGGGGATGTATCTCTCTCTCTATATCTCTCTATCTCACTCTCTCTCCTGTCTCTGTCACCTGGTGTGTCTCTGTATCTGCCTGTTTCTGTGACAGTTTCTCCCTGTGTCTCTCTGTGGTTCCTTGTCACTCTGAGTCTCTCTCTCTCTCTCTCTCTCTCTCTCTCTCTCTCTCTCTCTCTCTCGTCTCTGACTCTGGACTCTCTGCCTCCTCCTGTTCCTGCCTTCCCACTCCCTCCTCCTCAGAATTCCCGACCACCCTGGCAAGTCCACCTCCCCCTTCCCTCTCCCCTGCTGCTCCTACCCTCTCCCCTGGCCTTTGTGCCCTCCCTCCTTTTTCCTCCCACCCCCACCCCAGGCAGCCTGCTTGTGCCCCTGGTGCCTCCCCAACCCCTCTTACAGGGTCCCCTCTGTCCTGAGGTTCAGACAGCCTTCCTGGGATGGAGAGCGGCTGCGGCCTCCAGCTGCAGGGGTGGGAAGGGCAGGCTCCCCTACCCCGCTGACCCTGCCGGCTCACCCTGCCTGTCCCTCCTGCAGGTACTTCCTGGACTCTACCTCGGAAACTTCATCGGTGAGCACTGCCCACTCTGCCCCGGGCCATGGCACTCTGCCTGTCCCAGGCCCATGTCTGTCATTCATGCTCTGGCCCACGCACCTTGGAGGCGCTCAGGAATGGGGCTGGGGCCGGGAAGTGATGCCAGGCTGGGAGGGGGAAAGAGCTCACGAGGACAGAGGGGTAGGTACACGGGTGGGGAAGTGTCTCGGGGGCAAAGGGCTCAGAATGCTGGGCGCTGGGCAAGTCTGCAGCTGCTCGGAGCCTAGCCTCTCCCCCAGCACCAGACCAGCACCAGACCAGCACCTCTAACGGTGCTGACCCTGAGGTGCTGGGTTGAGGTCTGTTTGCAGGTTTGCTTCTAGTTGGGAAGCTGGAGACCCTTCCCCCCCACAACCTCCTCAGAGGAGGAGCAGTCCTGGAGACTGGACTCTACCTCAGAAACTCCATTGGTCAGCACTGCCCACTCTGCCCCAAGGCCTTGGCACTCTGCCTGCCCCGGGCCTGTGTTAAGAGACAGGCTGGTCCGGGGTTTGGGGGGCCCATGGTGAGAAAAGTCACTTCCATCTGCAGAGTCAGGGAAAGCTTCCGAGAGGGAGGGGCATCTGAACTGGGATAGGGCTTCCCCATCACCCTGTCCCCCAAGGGCTCAGGTGCCCCCTCTTATAAGCCCTGATCCCTTCCTCCCTGGAGCCACCTCAGCAGCACATGCCATGTTGCTTTCTGAGTATTTGGCTAAATAAGGTCCGAATTCCCGTGAGGGCAGAAGCCAAGACTGCGCATGGTGAGCACTCAGTAAATGTGTTGGGTGAGGATGTGGACAAATGGAGACAGAGGCGATCTGTTTCATATACTTTGATTATAAAAGGTCTGTATATACTGGCAATCCAGCCCCTAGAAATGACCTCTGATAGCCCAGGGGGTGGGGCCTGCCCCCAGGTCATTTTTCATCTCTTTGTTGATACAGATACTAGATTTAAAACAAAAATGGAAACCTATTCTGCATGTTGTTCTGTCACCTGTATTTCCCATTTAATAATATATTGTGGACATCCTTGCACATATGCACATAAAGATCTGCATAGTAGTCAAGTGTGAATATGCCATTTTTTATCCAGCTCCCTTTGATGGACATTTAGATTGTTCCCACTTCTAACTATTTCTGATGTTTTTACTGTGATAAGCAGCACTGCAGAGAACATCGTCCTCTGCACACAAAACTTCATGTGAACAAACCCTTCTGTAGACGAGATTCCTAGAAGTAGAATTACTGGGTCAAGGGTATACCAGGAAAGGGTGTTTGTGACGGAAAGAATAGCACAGGGAAGGCGGGGGAGATGCCGGGCTATTACTTGGGGGTGCCCCAGAGACAAGACTGAAGCCTAGGGGTGTGGCAGGACCGGTTATGCTAGGAGTAGGAGGTGGCCTAGAGCCAGGGCCAGGCAGAGGGTCCGCCAAGGTGGAGAGGGTGAGGTGAGAAGGAGAGTTGGGCAGGGAGTCGCCTCTCACTTGGCCATCAGGAACACATAGTCACACTTGCCAGACTGGCTCAAGATTCCTGTTTCTTTCAGATGCCAAAGACCCGGATCAGCTGGGCCGAAATAAGATCACTCACATCATCTCCATCCATGAGTCACCTCAGCCTCTGATGCAGGTACTCCTTACCCCCATCCCAGGGCTGCGCATAGATTGGGGAGGGTCTTCAGACACCGCCCCGCCCACCCCCCCAGCGCCCATTTAGCATGTACCTACTATGTGCCAGTCCTTTACTGCCTTCCTGACCCATGTATTTCATTTGGTTGAAAACTGGCCTCTTTTACATTAGCATCCCTGGTTGCCAACTGAGGTAATTTGCCTAAATTCACACATGCAGGGAGTTAAGGAGCTAGAATTTGAACACAGGCCATCTGGCTCCAGATGCCTCCACTGAGCCATAACAAGGCCCCTACATGGCTTCCCATTGCCCAACTGAACAGATGACCCCGAATGGATGGTTCTGGGCTCTATGTTTCGTTTTGGGACCCGGTGCTGTGGCTTTGCCTCCCTGGGCCTCTGATCCCTCAGCTCTATCTGCCCCAGGGGGCTGTTGTGAGGGGGGCAAATGGGCTGTGGGATGGTGAGGATGCCTTGCACACTGTAAAGCATGGCTCCCACAGGAGCAGTTGGTGCTGGTGTTATCGAGTCCTGGGGAAAAGGAGGTGAGGGTGTTTTGACCCAGAGGAGGAAAGCAGGCAATCCGACCACATGTGCTGAAGCCAGGAGGCCTGCGTTCACATCTTCACTTACGCTCTCTGTAACCGTGGGCACAGGACGCAGCCTCTCTGAACCTCAGTTGCCTGATCTGTAACGGGGATTTTATGAGAGTACTGACCTCACTGAATTGTTGCAAGCCACACAATAGGTGCTTAACAATTTACAGCTGGTGTAATACAACGTTAATCATCCTCATCGCATGAACAGAGACCCTTCCTCCTTATCTGTTAGTCTCAGTCACCCACTGGAGGTAAAGAACTGGGGGTGGGAAAGGGCTCTGAAGATCTGAGATTCAGACCAGGTTCTGTCACAGATTTGCTGTGTGACCTTAGGCAGGATCCTTCCCCTCTCTGGGCCTTAGTTTCCCCGTGTGTCTGATTTGATTATTTCTGAGAGCAACATCCAACAATCTGTGATTCTCAGTGTCATTCAAAGAAGAAATTTTCAGGTCAGTGGAGTCTGATTTTGCTTCATAGTGCAAGCTTGTTTTGAAGTAATTAGAGTACGCAGTCACTAGATTGTGTGGGGAAGGTTGTGAAGTCATGAATATATTTACTAATGAAATGACTGCTTGTAAAATGAATCCCTGCTCCAACAGCCCTCCCCTCTTCTCCCCAAGCGTCTCTCCTGCTCCATCCATCAGTGAATTTGCCAGTCAGAGGTTGATTATGCCCTGAAAATGCAAGGCCAAATGTGTTGCAAATGAAATTGCAAACCTTGCAAAAGATGCAGGATTGAGTGACCTTGGTGAAAGTGAGTTAGAGAAAGGCTGGGCTCTCACATGAAGCCTGTAACAAATGAGGATCTGGCTGGGGTCCCTTAGCCACTGGCCATTGGAATATCAAGTGATTAAGACAAGTCCTTGAGAAAAGTGATGAGGTTCTTGGAATGTGGGCAAAAATCATCTTTATGAACTTGTGTGAAGGTGAAGCACGAAGTGAGGGATGTTGGAACAAGTTTGTTGGAAAAACTAGTGACAATTCACTCCTTGATTATTTTTTTTTTTAAATTTTATTGATTTTTTACAGCGAGGAAGGGAGAGGGATAGAAAGTTAGAAACATCGATGAGAGAGGAACATCGATCAGCTGCCTCCTGCACACCCCCCACTGAGGATATGCCCGCAACCAAGGTACATGCCCTTGACTGGAATCGAACCCGGGACCCTTCAGTCCGCAGGCCGACGCTCTATCCACTGAGCCAAACCGGTCAGGGCACTCCTTGATTATTTTAATAATTAGCACAAATTTTATAACCACAATTCATGAAGTGTAAACTCACTTTCATAATTTTTGTTTCTTTTCAAGAAAATAAAATCTGTGGTCCCCTTCTTACTATGTAATTTTGTAATCCTCATTTGGAGGGGAGTCACTCTTAGTGGCCCTTTCCTGGCTAAAAGAAAGGTCCCTGGATCCTTTTTATCAAGTTCTTAGAAGGTTCTAGAATCACAGATGGTCAGAGCTGGGAGGTCCTCTTTGAACAGAGAGGACAACTGAGGCCCAGAGAGGGGCAGGAACTGGTCTGGGGTCAGGAGGTGCTTGGGGGGCCCAGGCTGGGGTAAGAGGGTACAAGCAAGCCCCCTCCCACTGCCTGTGTGTGTTTTGTACTTTCAGGGCATCACCTACCTTCGCATCCCAGTAGCCGACAACCCTGAGGTACCCATGTAAGTTCCCTGGGATGGACCGACAGATGGACAGACAGCTGCCTCCGCTGATGGTGGGAGGGAGGAAGGGAAGTGGTGTGAGGGGGGAAAGAGAGGACTCAGACCAGGAAGCTGCCCTAGGACCCCAGCTCCGATGGTCACCCAGCCCCAAGTTTGACTCTGTCTCAGCCACGCCTTGGTCTGTGCCCCTGACCAAGACCATTAACCTCCCGGAGCTGAGTCTCTTCTGCTGTGAGTTGGAGAAAGTTCCCCGTCCCACAGGATCAGCTGCACCAGCGGATTTGCAAAGGTCAGGCTCAGCTGGTTCCTGGCCTTGGAGTTAAGAGATCTGGATTCTGGCCAGGCTTTGCCATTTACTTGCCGTGTGACCTTGGACTAGTCACTTCCCTTCTCTGAGAGGGACAGTGGGGGTGTGATCAGCATCAAGGAGGCCTTAAAAAGATCAGGTGGCAGGGGTTGAGGATCCAGAACGAGACCTGGAGTATAATGGGGGCTCCGAACCCAGGATTTTTGTTCATGTTAGCAGCCGGGCCTCCAGCCTGGGAGGGGCCCAGACAAGGCACCCTGCCCCTCTGGAATCTTGCTGTCAGCCCCCATTGTAGACCTTCACTGTCCCCGGGATGCTTTGGATTGCAGACCCCCAGAGGAGGGGACCCCCCTGTGTCTCCTCCCACCCATTTCCTTGAAAAATCAAGACGCCCCCTCCCCTGTGGAAATAGGGTGCCCAGGACACCTTGGGGAGGTTCTCCGGCCTCTGTAGTGGGATCTGCCACGACCTCTCTTTATTGTTTCACACACATCCCCACCTCAAGTGACAGCATTGGCCCCTACTCACTGCACGCACCAGCTGACCTAGGGACCCCAGGCTCTTTGTCTCTTGCCATCCCATAAATGGGGAGGGGGGCAACTGGGAGACACCCCCCAGTGCTCCCTCCCTATTGCTTTCTTCTCTAGCAAAAAGCACTTCAAAGAATGTATCAACTTCATCCACTGCTGCCGCCTCAACGGGGGGAACTGCCTTGTGCACTGGTGAGTTAAGGGGGGAGTGGGGAGAAAGGAAGTAAGTGGCTGTCCTCTACCCCAGACACACATTCATCCAGTGGGGAAGGAGGAACGTGTGGCAGATCTTGTCCAGTTGTCACAATGGCTGACAACCCACCGTTCATCTGATAGAAGCTGCCAGGGGGCTCAGATCAGGGCTCTGTCCTTCACCAGCTGTGAGGCCAAGGCCAAATAGCTGTTTCTCCCTGAGACTCAATTTCCTCATCTGTAAAATGGGGAAAAGAATGCTGACATGGTGGGCTCTTGGGAGGGACAGGTGAGGTCATGCAGGTAACCAAATACCCACCAATAGTTCTGGCTCCCTCCTCTCCAGGCATTTGAGGCCATAGTAGTGCAGGTAGTGGAGGACCCCAGGCTGGGAGGCGGGACCCCCAAGGCTTCCCAGGAGCCCCTAGCCCAGTATATGTCACTCATTTCATAACTTCTCACTGAGCACGAACCCTATGCTGGAGCCCCAGCCGCAGGAACAGCTACCTCCAGCCTTGTCTCTCACCCTCTCTCCCTCCTTCACCTGCTGCAAGTGCACTGGCCATCTCCCTGTTTTTCAAACCCACCAGGCTCCCACCTCATGGTCTTTCCTACATACTGTTCAAGACTCAGCTTGGTGTCACTTCCCTGGGAACAGCTTCCCTCACCCTCTCCATCCCCCACTAGGTTAATATCTCTTCCTATACCATGTCCTGGCCCCGGACTCATCTTCACTGTCACCACCTGAAACCGTTTCCCTGCTTAGTGTCTGTCTCCCCCAACCAGACTCTAAGCATCAGGATGACAGAGACCATCTCTGGTTTACTTCCCACGGGATCCCCAGTATCTGAAAAATAACACATGATCAGTAAATGTTTGTTGAATGAATGAATGAAATGATGTTTCACTCAGGACTTTAATGTGGAGGAATGCCTGGGGATGCTCCAGGCAGAGGGAACAGAATGGGCAAAGGCCTGGAGGTGGGAAGATAGGTCCTGGTAGGTTCCCTGTGGTTGGAGCTCAGGAGGCAAGGGTGGGAGAGTGGAAGTGGGATGGGGTGTCTGGGGGGCACAGAGAAGACTGGGCCTTCCCTGAAGCTTGGGGTGGGGTCATCAGCTTTGCAGGCATCTCTCGAAGCACCACCATCGTGACAGCGTATGTGATGACTGTGACGGGACTAGGCTGGCGGGAAGTGCTCGAAGCCATCAAGTCCACCCGGCCCATTGCTAACCCCAACCCAGGCTTTAGACAGCAGCTTGAAGAGTTTGGCTGGGGCAGTTCCCGGAAGGTAGGGACTGGGGCAGGGGCTGGGGCAGGGCGGGAGGCTCTTCCCACTTGAGCTGAGCATTGCTTGGAAAGAATTGAACCCTGGCAGCATTGCTCAGTGGTTAGAACACCGGCCCATGGATTGAAGGGTCATGGGCCCGGTTACTGGTCAAGGGCATGTACCTGGGTTGTAGGTTTGATGAGAATGTGGGAGGCAACCAATCGATGTGTGTCTCTCACATCGATGTTTCTCTCTCTCTCTCCCTCTCTTCCCCCCTTCCCTTCCACTCTCTCTAGGAATCAATGGAAAAAATATCCTCGGGTGAGGATTAACAAAAACAAACAAACAAACAAAAACCAAAAACAAAAAGAATTTAGCCTCTGCTTCAGACCTGGCAGAAGATTTTTCTAGGGCCTCAAACTCATGGCCCGTGAGCTAATCTAGCCCCTGGGTGTGTTTGTTTGGATACTAGATGTTTTCTTTTTCATTGAGAATTTGAATGCCTTTGGGCCAGACTCTGGACCCTCCCATTTGACCAGGTCCCAGAACTACCTGCTCTACCTGCCTGGAACCTGAAGGGCATTTGAGCGTTTGGGCCCCTTTGGAGAGAAATGCCCATGTCCTACTCCACCCCTGCATCCTCGCTGAGGCCAAAGCACTCCCTTCTCTTCTGCCCAGTGGGCAGATGGCACGTGGAGATATCAGGGACTGAGGCTTCCGGGACAACCGGGGAAGAGAGACAGAGAGAGAGAAGCAGCAAGTGCAGGAAGGCTCCCAGCAGGTGGCAGGGCTGGCATCCAGAGGCTTATCTGCAATGCTTTATGGAAGAGGCAGGCACAGAAGAGGCTCGAGTGAGTGGAGTCCCTGTGCAGGGGGAGGGTCACGCTGGCAGGTCTGGAAGATGGAGTGTCCTAAGAAAAGTGGGTTCATGGGGAGGGGAGGGACTCGTG